GCCAGTATCAACCTCAACCAATCAGATTTTAAATTAAAACTAATTGTGACTTGGTCACTCAGGTGTTCCCATGTGATATTATTATTTGCTTCGATTGGCTGTTATTATTAGCTTGGTTTTCAATTTACCACATGTAATTATGATGCCCTCATAATCCTTTACAGTCAATATATTGCAATACAGTCTTAATTTTGGATGATCAAGATAGCTGGAAATTGGCTTCTTTATCTTCTCTTTATCATGAACTTTGACTTTTTCTCAGTCCATAAAAAAGAAAGCTTGGCCATTACCTCTTGGAAATTATGTGAACAAATGAACATGGCTCTACTTACAGGTCCACCTGCTGTGTTAAAGCTCTTTGTCCTTGGTGCCTTACTTGTATTAAAATTATCCTTGTACTGAGGTGCAGGGGTGAAAGGGGCATGGCAAGCAGGGGTGGCAACCATCATAAAGAAAGGGGGTGATGCTTCTGACTGCTCATTTATGAAACTGACTGCATGTTCTTTCTGAGAAGAAGAAACATCAATTTTGAAAGATGAAATACCACTTTGCATATTCTCAATAATGATCTCTATACATTTCCAAAGGTGCTGTCAAGGAGAATTTGTTTCACAATCAAGAACTTCTTAAGTTGGTGATCATTTCCCTTATTCTCCTGACATTGTGATCAAGGAGTGATATTGTAAGGATAAATTAGATGCTAGTCACTCTTAGGAGACAAACAGTTAATACATATTAATGTTCAAGCTAAGCTTGCAAAGAATTAATGTTTTAAAAAATCAAGTAATTTGACAGGCTTATTCATATTCAACCAAGTGATTGTTATGGTAGTAAACTTCAACATATAATTTTACCTCAGTAGTCTCATGTAATTTAATGCTGTTTGTTTTAAGCTTACCAAAATATCTGTGAGGTAGTCAGAGGCATAAGTATCTCCATGTTTCTCTGGATTCCCATTCACTGACAATGTATAGTTGTAGTACCTGGAGTTACCTACAAGTCCAACCCATTCATCCCAACCTGGGGGAACATGTTCAGGCCCCCCTACTTGCGGCATCCCGTATTGATTCAGGTACTTCCCACCGAAGAATGTTCGATAACCGAGCTTTTTCACGTAGGTGCTGACTGAGTGCTTCTCTGGCCCCTGTTGCCATCCAGGACTTGAACAACCTCCTGATATGGAGTTGTTTCTGGCGCGATGATTGTGTATATACTGTCCAGTCAGAATACTTGATCGGCTCGGACAACAGAGAGGACTTGTCACAAACTGCCGGCAAAAGAAAAAGATGTTAACCTCTTGCACTTTAACCCTTTAACTCCCATGAGTGACCAAGACAGAATTTCTCCTTACAATATCAATACAATATCAATCAGATAAGTGATGAGAATAGAGAAAAATATAAATTTGGGAATAATTAGTTGATCCAATACTAAATTCTCAGAACTAACATTATAAGAATTGTGTAGTTGACAGTAAGGAGAATCACAAATTTGATCTGGGAGTTAAAGGGTTTAGATCAGTAAGCTTATTCTCTACTCTGTTTGCAACACATTTCCTAATGTGCTAACAAGGAGAATTTGTTTAGCAATCAATAGCTTCTTTCATCAGCAATTATTTTCTTTTCTCTTGTGATCTTAATGTTTGATTCTGGGGTGATATTGTAAGGAAGCTGAAAGGATTAAACATAAACCACAAGCAAGGGCAAAATAAGAAATTGTGTCACTTCTGAGGCTTCAAACCTTAACAGTTCTCATTGTTGTGGTTGGATGCTCTACTGACTTTGCCACCAAGAACTTATTGGCAGGTGGAAATCAGCTGTCACATCATCATTAAAAAAAAAACTACTTAGGTCTCACTGTATGGGAGTGTAGAAGTAACTTACCATGTTGTCAAATTTTACACCATGCTGACCGATCAGTGTCTCAGCTTTCTTCAAAGGAGTCTATCAAAGTGGTACAAATAAAAAATGCTCAAAAGAGAATTTCTCCTTACAATATTGTTACAGTATCAAGCAGACTAGTGATGAGAATGAACAGAAGTATCAATTAGGGGATTAACAGTTGATCCAACAGCAAATTCTCTGAACTTTCATCACGCGAATTGTATGGTAGACAGTAAGGAGAATTACTAATGAGATCTTGAAAGTGAAAGAATTCAGATCGATAGCCTCACCATAAATGTCACAAGTGAATTTAAAGGCTAAAGTTTATAATTGTGAAAATTGGTTGAATTTTGAAAATATTTACACTGCTCACTTATACCTGTAAGAAGTAGGTCAATTTTAAAAGAACAGAGTGGAATATTAAACGGCGATGATTTTGATTCGGGTTGATCGTCTACAATCACGGAAAGAACTAGAGGGCTTATTCTTTTTTTCAGTTGTAACAGAAATAGATATTTACATTCCTTCGATCGTCGTCGATCATATCGAATCAAAACTGAAGTGCTGGAATAAGCTGCGATTTCTAAATGAATGCTACTTACAAGTCCTCCTAGCACAACATCTTGATCATCTGTAAGGATAAACACGATGTTTGGTTTACTCGTCGAACTAGTACTAGCGATGGAACAGCCGGAACATAGCACGAGAAACAGTAAAATAGGATTCTGCCTCAGGGCCATTTTGATTTAAAACCAAGACTAAGAGATCTCTGGTCTGCTAACGTCTCTGAAAAATTGATCCTTTTCTTGACGGATTCATGTGAACGTCTCGTGAGCCACCTCAACTTTTGTTGTCTTTTTGACCCGGCTCACATTTCTGCGCGAGGGACTGTTGCAGAGTTGAAGCTAACGCAATCAAAGTCACGCTAGTCACGCTTGGTATAGTTACACAGCAATCATTTTTGCTCACTCGCGCGAGAAAAAGGCGCCATTGAATTTGAAAATACTAGCTTTTTGTGAGAAGAAAATTAGAAAAAAAATTCGCTGTGTTGTATCATGTCTGCTCACTGACCGAAGTATTTTTCTCCAAGGCTCTACTTCCACGAAGAAAATTGATAAAGTCACGCTGATCGGAGCGTTTTACAATATTTAAGCATTATTTTAGCGTTATTTTAGCATACGCCGTTTCTTAGGAACCTTCCTTGCCTCGACAAGTATGTAAAGTATATAATGGGTGATGTGCATTGATATGCCTTGTAATGAGCTAAGGCCTTCGAAGCTTGAGTAAGTATAGAGGTTTCAAATCAACTTGGGGTTGCGTTTCTGCAAGAGAAAATGTCTCTTTAAGAGAAGAACATGGGACAAATAGGGAAAATCAGGGCGTTGGGCAGGTTACGTCAATTTCACTTGTATTTTTTTATCTGGGGGCGAAAAAAAAGACCCGCGATCGAAGAAAAATCCTTGCGAAATTTAAACACGCAACGGAAGCAATAAGGTGTACGGGATATATGTATATTCATTATTCTACTGCATAAAGTAGGGTCAAAGTAACGCGCGAATAGAGTGCAAATATCCTGCGATATTGTTCGGTTATTTGGACTGTTCGTTATTTCGTACTTTTAAAAAAACCTGTTTAACCAGTCGGCTGCGCGCGGCTCTGATGCGTTGTTTTTCCCGCCTTACGAGAAATGAACAGAAAGACTTAGAAGAAAAAAAAAGCACGGTTGGATAATAAATAACTTATTTGACGTTTTGGTGTGTAGTATCTCTGAATATTTTTGTATTAAGCGATACTTCACACCAAAACGTCTTATAAGATGCATGGATCTACAAAAACACAAATCCTGAACTGGTCTTACTGTGATATGTAAAGTACATTTTCTGTCTTCTGTTGTGAAGTGATGTTAATTTGCGTTTTGCTTACTCCAGTTTAACAAGAAGTTTTTAAAAGGTTCATACTCTTCGAAAAATGAAGTTGAGAACGCTCGAATTGCGAAATAGAAAACCACGCGAAATACTGCATGCCTCGCCAAAATCGCGCAGTTAACTACCCTCGAAACTAGCAATAATGTGGTTTCACATCACAGAAGTCAGTTTAATATATCAAAAGAACATAAATCTTACTTACATGCGAACAAGACTCACTGAAATAAGACTGGTGTCTTGGTTAATTTGTCTTCATTCAGAATTATAATTAGCAACCCACTCCGTCCGTTCTCAATAATTTGATATAAACAGCATAAAAGAAAGGATATCTCTAGCTGTATATTGCTAGTTTCAATGGGACAAGCGTCGTTCACAAATTGAAAAAGCACACTCGTTTGTCACGAATTTTGTGGGTGAAAATTAAAGTTTGAATAAGTCGTGCAGGGTTTTATTTCAGGCCCAAACCACACTAATACGTTTTTGTCCGTGCAGACGTTTTTGTGTTAATGCCTTTATCATTCACACAAGGTCCCTTGAATTAATAAGTTTTTCAAAGTTTCTGCCTTTTACCTCAACGATACGATGCAAAATCTTTCATTAGCCTTTTCGTTTTGCTTCCAGCAAGAGAATATCAACAGTTCTTCTTCTCTTGCTTCCAGCTGTCTACACTGATGTGTTTTCATTTGAAAATGGATGCATTTTAATGCGTTCAGTTTTCGTCCATCGTCCACACTTCAACGCCCGAAAGCGCCGATGGAAGCGACAGTACGAGACGTTTTCGAGAGTTCCAATGTTCATCAACCTCTTTTGAGTAATTTTGAGTGAATTTTTTGCAAAAATGTGTCAGAGAAGTGAGCGTTTGCGAACAAAAATGCAATAGTATAATTAAGCTCGATCAGGAGGTAGCTATACCAATCCTCACTTGTCTCCTGTAACGCGCGGCAGGATAGCACCAGGAGTCTGGAAGTGAGTGATCGGTCTGACATTAAATAGGCAAGAGATTGGGCTCCCCCTTAAGGAGGGTGGAATATCCTAGACTCAGTGATCTACGATTAATTTCCAGCAGAATAATATATTTTAGTAATCAAATCGATTGAAAAACCAGCTTTGTTAACAAACCCGAATCGCTTGGACCCATTGTTCAAACTTTCTCTCGTACAGCACTTTGAGACAGTCCGTCCAAACAACTCTCTGATATTCATAAAATCGTTTTATTTGCACTAGCAATCGCTGGGCTTAAAGACGAGTGGAACGAATCCAGATCGTTGCAGAAGATTTATCTTTTCTAGTGTGTGGCAAAATAAAAACAGCGATTTATAAATCTTGTTTGTTTAAGTGTTAACTTATTTCCTTCGACTGCAAATAGTTGCCAAAGATTCTTTTTGTCCATTTTCTATCTCCGTCAAAGAGTCTTGACTTCCAGCGTTCTGTAAATTCACGGGACTTTCCTCTATCGATTGTAGACTACTTTCGACTCCATTTGCACCCCCGCTTATGACGTCAGGCCACTCCGAGGAGTTTGGATCGTATGGCTCAATTCCATGTTCAACTTTATCTGCGCCTAATAATTCATCTTCTTCGCTCATGCGCATTCCCACCAACAGATTGACCAATAGCAGCTGCAAGTAGGTAGTGGTAGCAGCCCATGCAGTCATGGTAAGTGACATAAGCAGCTGAACTCCCAAGAACTTCCAAGGACCACCTTTGAAAATTCCAAACTCGCCGGAAAATGTATTTTCCAAGACGTCCTTCTCGGTAAAGAAGGCGACGGCGACTAGGCCCCAGATTCCTGCGAAAGCATGTGTCGGTACGCAGCCGACAGGATCATCGATTTTGAGCCGCTCGAGAAGCTCACATCCAGGACATGCCAACATGGCGCCTATTGCACCAATCAGAAGAGCCTCCCAAGGGCGGGCAAGAGAACAGATGGCTGAGCAGAGAAGAAAAGAAAAAAGAATTGATTGGTTCATCAATCTTCATCGTTAAAAAAAATTAATGTCTGTTTGAAGCTTAAAGGTAAAATTTGAAAAAAAAACACTGACTCAGCCACTGACTCAGCCTCCAGGACACGATTGTTTTTCGTTTTTCAGGCGCGCGGTGGCAAGTGCGAGGCATCTTGAGTTCAACCGGCCACGTATTTATAATTACCCATTCCATTTCACACATCTTTGAGTACTGCTTAAGGTATACTCTGCTATTTAATTGTAATGGGATTTCCAAAATGTACAACTGATTTCACGTTTTACCTGTTATACTGACGAGTCCCGACAAAATCCCGGTAACAAAGATTGATATGTTTAGCTTCTTTTCACAGAAAACGTAGCTAAAGGAAAAACCAGACAATCTACATGTGAGACGTCAAGTGCAAAGAAAAAACTTCATACAGAGATCATAACAACATTTCTGTATTAATTACCTGTAGACCATTCCCAGAATTCCTCCGCCTATCGAGCCATTGATGGTGACGACCGCTGACCTGGAAAAGGAGAGAGATGAATCGAAAGTTACCGTAGTAACTATGAGGCGTCTAAAGGAAATTTTTCCCCTGATATCCTCCATTATTCAAGACAACCAACTAGCATATATCAAGAATTTCTTTTGAGTGTTTCTTCCAAGCAATGATTAGCAAATTATGTTTAGAAAAATCACGCGTCACGCGCACTAAAAACAGTATTTCACGCTTCACGCATTTGAAGGGAAAACTTCGAATCTCCCCTTAACTTGCCTTTCTGTAAAATTCTCGCGTCACGTCTTCCCACGCTCTAATGCTCACAAATTCATTATCAGCTCTGTGTCGCCATTTTGCAAGCAGAACTTCCGTGGGGTAGCTCTTCATTTAACACTCACTAATAAATGGTTTTGAAAACTCGGCTTCTCTTTAAACTTTTACATCTTACTACTAACATTAAAATAAATTGGCAAATGGCACTTGAATAAATCTAACTTAATCCAGCATTCAGACCCTCAACTTTGTGACAAAGAAAATTTTTTTTACCTCGACGCAAGCTTCCATTTCATTCCACTTATTCCAAATGTGCTACCACAATTGAAACCCAACCACCCCCACCATAACATGAAAGTTCCCAGGAGAACATTTGTCGGGGAAGTCATCTGTTGCGGTGGAGAATTTTCATCAAATCTTCCTATGCGAGGCTTTAACATCATGGTCGCTACCAATCCACTTACTCCTCCAACTAAGTGGACAGCTCCGCAGCCGGCGATGTCGACTGCCCCCATTTTGGCAAGCCAGCCATTTTCAGCCCAAATCCAGTGAGCGGGTACGCTATATGTTAGAGTGTTGATAAACGAATAAACCGTATATGCTTTTAAGCATGTTCTCTCCGCCATTGCACCCGAGACAATCGTAGTCGCTGTCGTTGCGAACGAAAGCTGAAAAAAGTACTTTGAGAACACTTGCCCCATTTCATGGTCATCAGCGTCCGTGAAAAAATATCCAACACCGAAGAAACCATTCCCAGCCGTGTTGCTTCCGAAACTGAGTGCGAATCCGAAAAGCCAATAGGACAATCCACCATAGATGACATCAACTGCGTTCTTGACCATGATATTAGCTTCGTTTTTTTTGGACACCATGCCGGATTCGAGGAGACCGAAGCCAGACTGCATTGTGAAAATAATAAAAGCGCTGGTTAGAATCCATGTTGCGTCATCGGAGCCTACAAGTTCTCCTTCGTTTACGATGTTTGCCACCGGCGGCGTTGTGGAATTAAATGAAGATCCGTTCGAATGATTCATCATGTTCGTTTATTTGCCTCCTGAGTAAAAATAAAAAACAACAACAGAGCTGAGTCTAAGCAAACGACAACATTAACAACTAGTTTATGTACTTACCTTTGAAAATGAAAAAAAGCAGTTCCGCAGTGCGTAATAATGTAAATGTCATAATTTACCAGCAACCGAGAGAATATACTTGCGCTGCCCACAGCTTTTGTTGTCAGGTGACAAAAAAATCAAAAACTTATTTTCATAATACACTACTTTTCGTTAATTGGATAAAACAGCGCTAGCGTACTGCGAGAACATACCCTGATCGGTATTCAGATGGGCATTCAGTCCGATCGGCTTCGATGAAATACATTATTTAGGTCGGACTTAAATTGTCTTGAGTTCACTAACATCTTCATTTGCATAGGTGTGATGAATAAGAATCTTAAGGATTTTCTCGCAATAATTGATTTCTCTGTTTTATCATTCAGAAGACACCTGGATCAGAACCTTAACAAGCAGAATTCATAGAATTCTTTCGAAAGCATGTGGGAGAACACTCAACGGGGATTTTCACAAATTACTGGGGCAAAAGTTTTTTCAACGTAAGTGATATTGTGTGTAAACTGCGAAATTCATGCAGATTATGGTGGGCCGTGAAAGCGCTAAAGAGATGTCTACAAGTAACTTCTCAGCGCTAATGAATATCATTAAAATCATCCTGTCACTTTTTACGATAACAGATGCTAATCTTGTGACGGAAGACGGCGATTCAACGGAAATTTGCGGATCACTTTTAATCTTAATGTCTCGTTTATTTTAATGCTACAATCTTTTACGTGAAAGATCATCGTTAAATGCTGATGGAAGAAGAAGAGATCTTAACAGAGCAGGAAAATATTAGTCAAGTTTATAACACAAAGAAAACTGACATCATTGCAAAAAAAGGAAGGGGCATCATCAGGTGCCACAAAGGGAAAATAAAAAAACTTCTACCAGGAACGTGATCATAATTACCTTCAAATTATTAATTCGAATCGGTCACATACATCCGCATTTTAATTACTTCTCGCAGTATATTGAAAATATAATTGTATGATAAAACCAGTAAAAAATAAACAGTAGAAGGTTCTCGCATCAGAATTTTTACCCGGACCGGGATTGGAGACAAGCTGAAATTGGCAAAAACATCATAGTTTATTTAAAACGCGTTAGATTGACAAACTGACCATCCATTTCCTTATCAGTTTAAAACCTTGCTCTTCCGTCGCTAAAGAGAAATTTAACCCTTAATGCTCGAAATTCAGTCCCTTTCGTGTAGCTAGCAGATGCAACTAAAATTTCCTCTATTAACTCTAAATTTGCATTTTTTTTGTCCTACCTTAAGAGACAATGAACACGATTTTAAATACTTGTAGTTTATTGATGAATCAGTCATAATGCCGTTGACTCGACAATATTTCTGGCGCCTTGAAATTGGAAGTTTATTGGGAATTTCGGTACAATCAATTCTGAAGGATTAAACACCGTTATTGTACTTTTGAATTCAAATGACGGTTCAGTTTTTTTAATAAACACGGGAAAAAGATTGAAAGGTCACTTTTGCAAATACCTTTCAAACATTTACGAAATAATGGCTTCAGTCCGCTTTAAACGTTTTAAATTCGTTGCTATTCTTTTTCAAACAGAGCCGTGCGTTCAAATTTTTTTAGCTCCAAAGTTTCGCCGAAAAATCATATTTTTCATTGAAATTTTTTTCTTCTGTTTGTGTCTTAGACTAACGACCACTCAAGGATATTATCATATACAACTAAGTATCGTCAAATTAATTAATTTTCTCCATCGAAGGCGGCTAACTGCAATGAAATCGGACCAGCTTTTCAAAACTTCTTACAACGGTTCATCCGCCTTCGTGAACTTGTTCTTGATCCTCTACAGAAGAGGTCTTAAACTAACGTTCTTCATCCGCCAATCGTGAAAACCCCAGGTTCCATGAGAGTGGTTTGCCAATTTTGGCCGGACATAAGTCTCTGAAATGCCTAATGTCGTATTAGCAGAGACCAATTTTTTGAGAAGTTTATCTCTTGATTGCAAAGTACCCCACCGTATATAAATGCACAATTTGTTTTTCTGAATGTTATTTTGCACAATTACAGCTTTCTACGAACCCCTGTGCGCTGTTTCGAACAAAAACTGATGATGAACTGGTGTTGGTTTTCGCCAAAAATTGGTTTTTAATTTGCTTCAACAATACGGCATTCAGTAAGTCTTCTGGCTGTCTCTCAATGCTCTCCAGTAACAATAAACACACAGTAATTACTACTTAAAAACTGGAAAGAGAAAGTTATAAGCGATAAGCATCTCGCTTATCGTTGTTTTTCAAATTATGCAGATTTAATGCATCTCATGAATGTTGACAAGTTTATGTAGGTCGATTTTGGTTCTCTACATTATCTTAGTCCAAACCTATTCCAGTTGGAAAAAAAGAGTCTGACATGAAGGAAAAAAAAAAAGAAGGAATAAGGAGAAAACACTACACCACGGAGAGAGGTTTTACTCAAAAAACATCAACATTCATTATTTCATGAAGACAATTTCAAACATGGACTTTATCCTTTTCTGCAAATTACTATTTCTTCAGGCAAATTCAAAACATTTTTAATAAATTTGTGTAGTTCACGTTGGCTTAAGTTACTGAAAAATTTTGATACTTTAACCAAAAGCAAAATAACTTTGTATATCTTTAATGAAATCGCTTGGTTTCAGGAGCGGCTAGGTGAAAATGGAAAATCGTCCTGCCTTACTTTAATCAAATTTGGAAAATTTGTTTACCGCAATGGCAACAATATCGCTTAGTAATGTGGCACGAATTTTAAATCTCAGGGAAATGAGTGGCTTAAAACCTCGTTACCTCTTTAAGTTTTACTAAAAAAGTTGTATCCCAATCTAAATAGATTCCAGTGGTTCTAAATTAAATATTTCGTGGTTTCAATTGAACGAAGTTAAACTTCCCTGTGGTCTCTCACGAATCCGTTCCATAATTCACGGCCAAGCAGGTAGCTTATACCAAACAACTTATTTTTTTTCATTCCAAAAGCATAAAAGCGAAATAAAATAAGGCAAATTGAAATAAAGACTTACCAAAAATGGTATTTCTGTTTTCTATTCTGAGCAAGCTTTTGTCGTCTTTAGTAAATGAAATAATTGAATAAGCAGTTGACACAGGCGGTATTCGGGGGCCGGAAAACTTGTCGACAAGTCATTGCAACTGCCTAGAGCCACGGAAACATACGTAAATCATTTACCGATAAATTAAACATAATTTTATGTAGAATTGCATAAGGTAAATACGAAGGCTCATTGGAAGATGAATTTTTTCAGACTTTCTCTTGAAAATGGTTCAGTATTTACTAAGGTCATTGAAATTATTCCAGCTGAAATTTTTCTTCGGTTTTCACGTATTTTTTCTAAATCGCTCCATCGGTATAAACCTTAAAGAAAATATTTACTGTTGGTTAATGCAAAATCATGAGACGAAATATGATTCGATCACCTGCCATGAAAACAGGAACAGTACAGAATAATGATTGACATACCACCTGTGTGGTATCCATGACAACTAACTGTTTTGAGCGGGGCGCTTGGGAAAAGGACAAAAGACGAGGGAGTGAGTGAGGAAATGAAAAATGGCTTCGTCATCTAATGCTATGATCGCTGTTTTAGAACTGAGACAAAAAGTGCTGAAAATAGAAAAAAAAAAATCTTAATATGATCTTAAAAGGAAAAAGCCTGTGTTGTGTCTCTTTCAAATTAGTAATTTCATATAACACTTACTTGACTGACGAACATCTCACATATTTTCCAAATATTTTAATTTCAAATTTGCAGTCCTCATTTATTTCTAAAAGGTTTATTTGACAGAGCACAAGACGGCGATCCCGTATTAAACAAAATCCACAGTTTACTCATCACGAACGAAATTTTGTTGACTAAAAAGATAAACAATATTTTGGTGAATCTCTACAACGATCTCGGTTACTTCCTTTATCATTTAATTCATTTGCAAAAATAAGGAAAATTTAAGCCCAAAAATGTCGTATTTTCTTCCATGAGAGGGATGCCATTTTGTATGTATCTTCATGCAGTTTTCGCTTTTCCCTTACCTTGTATGCGGAAGGATCCTGAATTCTTTCTCGACGCTGAGCAAATAAGATACTGGGTGATACGTTTGGAGTACGACACTTGCTGATTGGTTCAAATCTTTCCTAGTAAAAACCACAGATCGTATAATTACTATATTTTTATTGGTATCTATTTACAGTATTCCGTCTGAAACAGAACAATAAAGCTTCCCATTTAGGGCTTGTCAACTTTTTACAGGCTTCATTCTTAATTATATGGATTCAAAACTTCAGTTTTACAATCACAAATTTGTTCCTGTGGCGAACTATATTTTCTGGTGGAATGTTTGTTTATTCGGGTTGGCAGTATAAAATCGAACGTGTTTCCTTTTAGTCAACTCACGGAATGATAACAGACTGAAATGTATGAAAACAGCGTGGAAACGAAGTGTTAACAATTTTCAATCAACGTTCTTATTCCTTAAACTTAATTGATGATGGGATTCTTGCTAACCATCAAATATTCAGTGTCTCTTTGTTAACTTAACAGCCTTATTTACAGAAACAAAAAACAAAACAAAACAAAAACCAATCATCAATAAAAAATGTCTACTGCACCAGTGAGAGCTCTAAGATAAAATTGGGTGGGCGAGTCAAGGTTTCCGTTTCAGTTTTGCATCTGGTCGTAAGCGTAATGAAGAAAACCCGACGCAATCTCAGATTAATTTCGACAATGGGATGAAAATCTTCTTCTCGTCTTGTAATGGATTCAACAGCGAGTTGAAACAAAGCGGTCACTTTTCTGATGAGCTAAACCAACCGCAGTTTAAGAGAACGCAATGAAACTAATTGAAAGAGACATATATATATATATATATTTTTTTTTTTTTTTTTTTTTAAATTTTTTTTTTTTTTCAGGGGAGGGAGGAATAAAACACTTTAAAAATTAGACTTGAAGATTAAAAAAAAAAAAAACGGCACCAGCATCATTAGCACCCACGCTCTGCCGATCGACTGGCCCAACGGACCCGAGCCAACATTTGAGGAAAAAAAGAACTAATTGGTGACCCAAAAGATTTTCCAGGAGAAAGTTCAAATGTGGGTTTAAATAATAATACTAAAAGCAAACGGGAAACACCAAATACGCATTTATTTCAGTAGACAGACTTATAAAGGACACATTTACCTACAAACGGAGCAAGAGAGAGTCCGACTAACGAGATTAACCTTTAGCCGCCTAAAATGAAAGATTTTTGCCCACATTCGTCAATAAAGCCTGCTATTGCTAGTCATCAAATCTCTCAGATATTCCTTCGTAAGAAGTGATTTGGAGTTAAGGTAAATTTGTTTTAGTTGACATTTCGGCCACAGGACGGGAGCAGTCGTAGCTTCCTCCTGGAAACTGAACCGATGTCGCAAAGCGTTATTCGTGTATTTTTAAATGGTATCATCACATTAATTTCAGACTGTTATACATTTTTGGGTCACTTAGCTGCCGCAGGCACCGAGAAAAAAAA